ATTTTCTTACTTATTTTTCTTAGTCTTTTCTTATTTTCGTATTTATTTTTTCTTACTTTTCCTATTATTTTTTTCTTATTCTTCTATTTTCTACTTTTTTTCTGTTGCCACCATCGTGGACTACTGGTTAGAAACCATGGGCTTGAAATGATATTTTCTTGTACGATTGAATAAGTTATGAATCCAGGAATGATTAATTTCAGGATAAATACGAGTGTCGTTTATCGAACAGATCGTACCACTCGTATGTTGTTAACAATTTTATGCGTATTTTTAATCACCGAACTACCACAAGGTATTATGATGGTACTTTCTGGTATCCTTCCAGAAGCATTCCGACGCCATATTTATAATAGTCTTGGTGACCTGTTGGATTTATTATCACTTTGCAACGCATGTACAACATTTGTTATCTATTGCTCAATGAGTGAACAGTTTAGAAATGTTCGCTTTTCTTTTTCAAAATACGTATACATAAATGTATATGCAATCATTAAATTATTTCCCTATCACATCGAACTTAGATTCTCTTTCCTCAGAATCCTGGTTAGTTAGATTTCTTAATGGTCAGATTCCTCGTTGATTTCAGACTCTTTGTTGGTCGAATTCTTTAAGGAATTAACGGAAAGAAAAAGCGTTTTTTTAAGATTTACTTCACTTTGATATAAATAAATGTTACCATAAAGGGATTAGGTCCATTTAGCAATGTTAATAAAGCAAATTTTAAAATTCTTTTATAACTTTGTATTTTGAAAATTTTCAATTTTTTAAAATAGTTCAGAATGATGAAAACAAATAGTTGGAAAAAGGGAGAGTAAAGATTGAAAGAGAATATTACTTGCGTAAACTGTCTTCAAAATTTATTTTAATAAATGAGCCAATTATTTCATTGAGAAATTTCACTAATTCCTTTTTTTTTGCAAATGTTATAGGAATTTAAACAAGTATTCCTGCCAAATTCACTATTCGGTTATAAGTTAACACGGAAGTTACAATGGAATCATAAAGAGTCGTCATCATCTACGCATTCATCTAATGGCAGAAATTCCAAGAATATCTTTGAATTACCAGCAAATATCTTGAATCGGTACGTATTCACCGTATTTACTCATATATAACAAGAAAACTAAAGCTCATTTAATTTGGTACTGTAACTTTCGATAAAATTAACTTATTTCTTTACTTTACTTCTTTGCGTCTAAGTTATCTATTGCAATTATTAGAACTTTTCAATTAAGCTATCATCTAATCATATGATAAAGAGAGTAACAACTTTCTCAAAGTACATTTATGACCCAGCAAGTAAAGATTATTTTTTTCAAGTAGTTCAATTTGTAGGAATACTAAAGATGTTTGTCCAATGGTGACAGCAACATCGGAATTACTAATGGAAAGTTCGTTAACCTAATTGTACTATGTTAACAATAACCTACAGGAATGGTCAAACATGAATATGGAAAATGACGAAGATATCAAACGGTTCTGTTCCAGTGCCTTAAAAAAAAAAAAGAAAACATTTAACACCTATAAATTGTATAAATGTTAATAAGGTTGAAAATTTTTTCGTAAAATAAAGAATTTTTGCAACTTTTTTAACAAATTTAATGATATTAGTGAATTTTAAAAGTTTAATTTCACTAATTGTTACCACATTTAATGTACACCAAATGTGATAAAAGAAAAACAATTTGTTTGATAAAAATATGATAAAATAAACCACAAAAAAAGTATGGTAGATTTTGATGAAATATATTAAAATCAACTTTATTGCAATTATATCGAATTATCAAAATTCATTCAGTTGACCTTTGAAACATGTTTCCGGATGATAGATATCACTGAATGCTTAAGATTTTTCCTCAATAACTTTCAAGTGTTTCAAATAATCGCAATCCTTAAAATGGAGCAAGCACAATCGATCAGTCTTGAACCAAAAAATTTTTCAAACTATCATTTTTTTTTGATGTAAAAAATTAAAATGTATTTTTATCAGTAATTTTTTCCTATGAAACTTATAAAACGGAAAAAGAAATTCCTTAAACTTAAACTAATCTAAACAGTATAAATTTCACAATTTAATTTGCTTCTTTGTTCTTTGGCCTAATTCATCATTATCTTTCAAATTATTTAAAGAATCAAATAAATGAAATAAACGTTTACTTTGAACTACTCAATTGAGATTACAAGTATTATCATGTTTTCCAAGCATAAATGAAATAATTCATTTGATACGACAAATAGAAATGGAAGGGAAAATTGCGACAATGTCGTAGCACGCAGTTATTTTAAACATGACTTGAGAAGAATGACGAAATTTTGGAATGATAGAAAGGAAAAATTTAAAGATTAAAATTATCATTATGTTTGAAATATAATTAATTTATTCGTAAACAAAATATAATAGCACAAAATCAATTTTTGTAAAAAAAGGATTCAAAATTTAATTTTTAAACTTCTTTCTCATTTGTTTTTCTTGTTTTCTTGCTAGAAAAACTTGCTGGTCCAATACCTCACTTTAAACTTTTTGTATTTTTTACTTCGGGATGTATTCTCGTATCCTATAAATACTCAACAAAAGTTAATTTTTAATTACTTCACAAACTAACTCATTAATTAAACTCATATCAACGTATCTTCCCAAAGCATCTAGTCCAAACTCAAATTTCCATTTAATTAGTTTTCCTATAATAATTATATTTGAAAGAAATTAAAAATTACTGTTCGTAATAATCACCTCCAACTTTTTTAATTTTTTAAAATAATTAATAAATGTATTAGATATTTACAAGATAGAATAAAGATGCATCAGCGCTTACCATATCATATCAAAATACTTGTAATTAATATTTTAGTCAGAGAACATTGTAGCAGAACTTATCACAAATTCAATGACAATGATAATTGAATCCAATAAATTACGCCTTCATTTTAAATATTTTCGAAACTTTTACAATTGCTATCAATTTTTTATTCTTTGAAATATTTCTTATCACTGATAAATTCTCATATTTATTTAAACCTAATTTATTCAAATTAAATTTTCCAAATAACTAACAGCAGAAGGTGATTTAATGTTGATTGATTTGTCAGATAATTCATCGGCATTTTCATTTGAAGTTTGCTCCTTCTTTGAACTATCATGTTTTTCATTTGGCTTGAAATTATTCATTCGAAACGCTAAATAACAACAAACTCCAATCGCCACACAGATAATGATAGCAACTATCGTTAGTGATAACAATATTATCCACATGACTCCTTCTTTCTTCTTATATGTTACTTCATCTTCAAGCAAAAAAAAAAGTAAAAATAAAGTAAAATAAAATAAATAAATAATAAGGAAAAAATGGAAGAAAAAATTTTTAAATTTTTTTAATGAAAATATTTTTTTATATGTTCGTTTATTCAACTGTTATTTCAGACCAAAATAATTAATGTGGACTAGTTTGGTTTTAATTAAATTAATCTGAATTTGTAATGATAGTGTGGATAAATATAATTCTAATGTTTTGTCATTAAGCATATTTTTAACATTAATTTAAAAAATAATGTAAATAATGTACTTTTTGTACAATCAAAAAAGAACCAAGTTACATAAATTCTGGTTGATTCCTGAATAGTTGTTATGAAGCATATATCCTGAACCTTAAATTAATTATTTCAATTTTAGACAATTAATATAGAAACAGATAAAAATTGATATTCAAATGAACTCATATTTACTAAAAGAGAAAAATGCATTTAGTTTCATATGATAGAAGAAACCATTCTGAAGGATTCAGAAGTTTCACGCAAATACGTATCTCTCAAATACAATGTCATCATTTCAGTTATACGTGAAGAAAAGTAAAATATAATCAGATTATATTTTTTCTTCACTAGACAGTTATTTAGATAATAACGTTACGTACACGTTAAGGAAGTGTATCTATTTTTTTAAAACTTTTTACTAATTTTCTTTTTCATTGATTGACGCAAAATATATTGAATGTAAGTTACACGTACCACACGTAACAGGTGTTCAAAATCTTTGGGATTTTTTATAATTTTGATTTTAAGATTTTCCGGTTTATTCATGGCTTTTTCAAAAGCATTGGTCAAAATTTCATCACACTTTTTGTCCAAACTAATAATCGCAATGGAATTACTTCCGACATCGTAGTATGCCTGTTTTGATATGCATTCATCTGATTCCTGATGTGACAAATGCTGCAATAATTTTTGTGCTAATTTATAGATCTATAAATTCTTGGAGAAGTCCAATCAGATTAATTAATCGGGATAATCCAACTTGTCACAGACTTATAATCTCGAAAAAGTCGCAGAAACTGTTTCTAAGATTGCAATAATGTAAAATTGATTAAATAAGGTTCAGATTTTCATGAATACATGTCCTAAATTTATCTTCTTAATTGTTATGTAGTATCGACAATTTGAAATTAAAACTAATTATTCGAAACTATGTAATCTACCATAACAATTCTCAAATCATTCATACTAAGACGTTTCAGTTGAATTATCACTTTGATGATTTTAAATTAACTTATGAGGATTTGAAGTATTTATTGGTATTATATCACAATTAAGGCAATATATTTATAATTAATGAAAAGTATTTAAATAAGCCAAAATTCTCAACAATTTATTTGTTTGGTTAATTTTTTAATTTCATATATCAATTTTTAGATTTCATTAAATTTATGTAATACTTCAAGTTTGTATAACTAACTGTGATTCGTACGCGAAATTGCGCGCAAGTATTGATAGCAAACATACTAATGATAAAAACAAACAACCGCATGGAAATGTATGAAATACTATCAGTGTCATGCTAATTAATTTGATAACATTTTTATTAGTAAAAATTTTTACCATTCAAAGTTACTTATAACAAATAAATTTGATTTCGAAAATGATAAAATGACGATATTACATCAAAATATCTTGTAAAATTCCAAAATTTCCAAGTTTTTTTCCTTTTACACTTGAAATAGCTATTAATTACAATGTTTTACTTTCTATTTCTTAAAATATAACACGTATGACACGTTATGACACGTACTTTTTTCTTCAAAACTGTTTTTTTTCTCAATTTTGAGAAAATAATCGTTAAAAATGGACTGCCTTGAACAATATCAGATACATATTAGCACTACGCATTGTAATTTTGAAAATGCTTAATTAGACCAAATGTGACAAAATAACTTGAATCATCATTCATTTATTATACACTCATACGATAACACATTCCCGATTACACTTCGAACTTCTCGGTAAATATAGCTAAACTATCAAAAGTGTATTAAAATTAATGGTAAATCTACAGTGGTTTAAACTGGAAAGAAAAAAAAAGCATGAAAAATTGAATTACCACAGAATCGAGCAAAATTAAATCATTAAATTAAAATATAGAAATTTGTTTGAAATCATCACAGTGACAGATGAATCATCCCATTCGTCATCAGTAATTTTCCTTTCGCATTTTGTTTAATTAATTTGTCGCTAATATTTAGAATAGATGATGTTGAATTCTGCAAATTCTCTCCAATACATTGATAGCTTTTTGATCTTTTTCTATATATTTGTCTAAACAATTATTTATTTTAAATCTTGAAAATTTTTTAACTTTTGAATAACAAATTAATTTTGAACGAAATACAATGACTAATAAGTGGTAAGTTATTACGTATGCTACTCATTGAACTAATAATACTGTCAGGTTTATTTTTTATGGATAAATTTACTTGCCTAATTGTTCAGACATTAAATTCAAACTTTCTTCTTTTCAAATGGAAGCATTTCTGTTGCCTGAGTATCATTTTTTGAATATTTCATTCGAACTTCTTTTACACCTTAAACAAATTCTTCATCATAACTTTAATTTAATTTCTTTTTTGATGATTTTAACAATTTCTGCAATCATTCAAAATTTTCGATTTAGTTTCCATCCAAAAAAAAATCTTTGTGATTTAAAATTTGCAAAATATAACAGAATGAAATTACACGTAACAAAACTGATAATAAATATATTAAAAAAACACACGTGATAAAACGTGTTCGTAAATATATTTAGACGTATGATAGCAATCATTTGGAATACTTTCAGTTGAAAATGAAAAAAAATTACCATATAAGCTTTGTATGTGTAAGATATCAAAATTGGTAAGTTTTACTTTTACATATTTTCCATTTGCATCAATAGATTGATAATTATAAAAAGGTGACATTATTGAATCTTTTTCGCAGGAATGTTCCAAGCCCAAACTATGTCCAATTTCGTGAATTGCTGTTGGCAGTAAATCTATGGTATCATATCTAGCAAATAGCTATAGATAATTTAAATGCAAAAAAAAAAAATCTTCAATTCATTTAACTTGCCTTTCTTAAAAAATAAAAAAGAAATTCGGGATAAAAAAAAGCCAAGCCTGGAAAGTTCTGTGACAATGATAGCAGCCCATCTTTCGTCCGCATCAAAATGAACCATTCCATATGGTGGAAGTAATGCATGTGCTAATATTTTACCTGTTAAAAAATTTAATTTTTAATGTAATTTTTGTTTTCCATATAAATAACAAAAGTAAAAACCAATGGAATAGTTGAAATAAATGATTTGTAACTGTTCTAGGATTAATAAGCGCTTTTGTCATCAACAAAGAATCTATTTATTCATCGTAATTAGCTTTTGAAGAATCTAATATCGCTACCATTCGTAGATAATCTTAGCTTCTCTTACAATTTCTACAATAAATATATCATTTCATATTAATATATAAAGAAAAATGTAATTCATCAAAAGTAAAAAAAGAAACTAATTCATCAAGAATAAAAAGTAACCCAAGAAAGTAATCCATCAAGAATAAAAAGTAACCCAAGAAAGTAATCCATCAAGAATAAAAAGTAACCCAAGAAAGTAATCCATCAGAAGTACCATAACCGAAAATGAAACTTTGCAGGGCATTTTGAAACCTTTTATACAACATGTTAAATTTATCACTAATTAAACAAATCACTAATCATTAGTCAAAATCACAAATCATCACTATTCACTACCATTAATCATTAGTCAAAATTACTTAATCATTAGCCTAAATCACTAGTCACTATTCACTGCCACTATTCACTAGTCAAAATCACTAATCACTATTCACTATTACTAATCAAAGATAGATAGCAATATTAATTATTAAAATGATAGTTTCATTATTAATTATTAAAATGATAGTTTCATGTTAATTTGAATAAATATCGTTTGCAAAAACTGATCAGAAATGCTTACTGATTTTGATTAATGTGAATGTAGCTGAT